AGAAGAGCTTTCAGGTCCACCAGGAGGCGTCCCAGGAGGCGGTCCCAGAGCTGTTCTCCAAATGACCCGTGTACTGATGAACAGCCTCTGCAGTGTTTTGGTTGCTCATAGTGCTTGAGTGTCCGTGGTGCCCCTCACCACTGCAGGAACAGGGTTTGTGGGTGGAAAACACTGGGGTTTTACCTGCCTTGAGAACACCTGAGATGTCTTCAGGTTTGGCTTTCTCCATCAGGCAGAGCAGTGTGCTTGCTAGCAGAGCGAAATTGCACCTTAGAAATGTTGTCTACTCTAGTCGTCCATGGAAGAGGTGCAGTGGGAGGTGCCTTCACCACTGACTTCTTGCTTAATCCCTATTTTTTCTAGGATTGCCCTCCAAGAAGAGACCAATCGCATGTCAGCTAACGCCTTGGCCATCGTCTTTGCTCCCTGTATCCTTCGCTGCCCCGATACGACGGACCCGCTGCAGAGTGTTCAGGACATCAGTAAAACAACCACGTAAGAACGTGGTGCTGGATGATCCAGCTCCATACCTACTTCCATGTCACCGCTCACATCTGGATAACCTTCAGTACGGTCAAATGGCTCAAGAACAGGGAGCTTTAGCATGGAAATTAGGAACACATATTTCATTTTTTCTCAATCCCCAAGAGGTTGTTGAAGGGGAATTTTTAAGCGATGAGGATCCACAAGAGCAGATCAACTTGTGTTCCCACCTGAATAGGTGAAGCTTGTGCTGATGTGGTTTTAGAATTAATCCCATTTCTGGCAAGCAGATCTTTATTGTTACTTAATGGGGAGGGGGGAGGAGGAGGGTTATTTGATGAGGTGAGTTTGGTCTGCAGCGATATTAACACTGCAGACTTGGATTTCTTTAAGGTATTTGACATAATTGCAAAAGTTTTACAGAGGAAAAGGTGAAGCACCTGCCCAAATTCAGTCTGGCTTGTATTAGATTTAAAAATAGATAATGGAGACAATGATAATGATGGAAACCATCCAGCGAAGGGCTGGTCTTCTGAAAGAGTTTGGTTTACTGCCAGGAAGTATTAAAATGGTTGGAGACCAGAATGTGTTTGGAGGCTCTGCTGGTAGCACTCATCCTTTCAGAGAATTTCCTTGTAGCTTTTCTCTTGGATTTTAGCTATAGCACATCCTCTAATTTTATTACATGAAAAGGACTACATTTTTTCCCCAAACACACTCCTGACAGCATTGAACAGTTCTGCTACACAAGCTTGCTACAGGATTACTGCATGTAAGTGAGTTGGAGACAACCTTCCTCAGGTTTGTATTTCCTTGATCTCTTCCAAGAGAGGGATCTTTATCACTCTTTTTTGGGGAATTTGCACTACTCTTTGGTTTCCAGCTGGAGCTTTCTCCCTCTGTGTTTTCCATCAGGGCACATTTTCAGGCAAGACAGAGACAGCTCAGATCAAATTGTTTCCTCCTCCCATCTTGTCTTTTTGCTTTTTTTTTTTCCCCATTAGGTGTGTAGAATTAATCGTCATCGAGCAGATGAACAAATACAAGGCTCGTCTCAAGGACATCAACAGCCTGGAGTTTGCAGAGAACAAAGCCAAGAGCCGCCTCTCCTTGATCCGCAGATCTATGGTGAGATGCCAAAACCATCTCTGTCCCTTCCCATCCCCTCCTTGCCCCTGAAGCAACCCTCCCTTATCTTCTCCTGCTTATCCCAGCCTCCCAAACCCCTTGCAACCTCCCACACCATCCTCCCCAGGACAGGGACCCTCAGCCCCATGGAGGCTCCTTGCCTTTGTAGGGAGTCATTCCAAAGCACGAGAAAGTGAGAATGGTCTGTGGAAATGTGGTCACTCCATCTCAGATGATCCTGATCAGTGTTTCCATCTTGTTTTGAAATTGTTTGGTCATGGGTTGAGTCAAGTGTTTCACTGACCAGCTCAATGCTGCCCCGTGGGAGACCTTGACCATCCTTTTTCATACTCAGTTGCATTATCTGAACCCAAAATGAGCTCCTCAAAGGCTCTCCCTGTTCCCACACCACCTTTTTGGGAGACTCAAACCCATCTCATTGAGCTTCCATGCTGCCTTGGGGGCCGGCGGGCTGCAGGTGCACGCTGCACTTGGCTTGTTGGGCTGTGGGAGCGAGACAGGCTTGGCACAGCGTGGTTATCCCAGGCTTGGGCTGAGGAGTCAGGTGACACTTCTGCTTGGATCTGCCCGCTTAGGTCCTTGGGAACATGTTGCTTCTGCTTTCTTGGGCAGAAATCCAAGCAGGGGCTGCCCAAGGTTGTGGGGCTGGTGCTGCAGAGCTGCCCTGCTCATCCTACTTGGAAAAAAACCCATGAAAATGAACAGAAATGGGTTTTTTTGGTGGGGCAATGGCATGTGCACTCTAACCTTCTGCTTTCCTTTTCATCTCCTCTCTAATCCAGAAACCTGTACTAATTGCAGTTAGATTTATGAGCATAACCCGCAGCTCAATCCCGGTATGTATTAACTGCAGCGCACCCCGCGCCAGCCGCCGCGTCCCTCCGTTGTGTTTCACCGCCACTCATTCCAGCCAAATCCCACTGGCCATTGTCCATGACGTTGCCCATCTGGTCCCCGAGTGGGAGCTGCTCTCAGGGTGACTGTTTCTCCAGCAGGTCCCCCAGGCAGCAGGAGTTTGGGATGGCCACCACTCGGCCATCGCCACAAGCAGCTCCTTGAAAAACTGCTTTGTGCCCCTTCTCCAATTCCTACTTTTCTTTTCCTCTTATATTTTCTTTTCCCATCCTGTGCTTTCCTCTTTTTTGCTTTGCTTGACTCATCCCTTCCCACCCCAATTTCTGCTCGCTCAGGATATGTTTCAGCATCATGTTGCTTTCGCAGTAGTGCTGTATCTTGAGATGGTGAATAAACCCTTGGCTCAGATGCCTCTGTGACCACGAGGCATCTGAAGGTCTTTTCCACCTTCTTGGAGCAGCAGCACCACCACCCCTTTGAACAGAAGGGCACAAGACCCAGGTTGGAATTGGAAGGGGTCCAGCAACCCCATTATTCCGCAGCTCCATCCCAGCTTGTCTTTGAGTTCCTAGTGAGAAAAGTGCTTGCAGGTTTTTGGGGATGCTTCTGGAGCTGTTTCACTGCCTACCAAATCCAGCCCATGATGCTTCTCCTCATCCATGTGGGTCAGGAGACAGGGAAGGGCAAAACTCAAGCTCTGCTTCCCTGATGCTGTTTTGCTAGCACATCATTTTGCAGGGGTTTAAGTTCACAAGCCGGTGGGATCTTTGGGATCTCAGGGGTTTTGGCTAATAGGATTCAGGTAGCTGTGCCTCAGCTCAGGAGCCCACGTGAGAAGGTGTCGTCAGAGGAATGCCAGGGCACAGGAGAAGCTTTGCTGCCACAGGAAAGTCTCTGAGATGTGACATTAAAAGATGAAAGGGGTAAAATGGAACAAATCTCACTTTTAGAGGAAAAAAAAAGGAAGCTCCTTTACCCTGCAAACCTGCTCTGGGCATGCGGGCTATGAGGAAGAGCCAGGGATGCCACAGCTGCAGAGATTAGATAGTTCTATGGGGAGAAAAGCTGTGTTGCAATGAGCTCTTCAGCTGCATGGAGATGCAGGCTTATCCTGGGTGATGGTTGTCAGGAGGAGGGCACTAAGCAAGGGGCACATCTCCAGCTGGTCGACATTGCCCAAGTCCTGATCAGTTGAGGATCTTGAATGTAGAAGATGAGACACGTCTGGTTGTTATAATGGTTAAGATAGAAGTTTTTTAATGTCCGTGGTGCCCCTCGTCCAAGGATGGGTGAGGAAAGGATGCAAGATGTGATATGATGATGAAGTGGGAGCCAGGTGCACTGAAATCAAAGCCATAGTGACACTTCCACCCAAAGCCAACACAGACCTGGCAGGTCAAGCTTCCCATCGCATGGGCTGTGGAGCTTTGCAGAAACCATCCTCCTGCCAGCTGCACTTGCTTGGAAGCCCAAGTTGCACTTGGTCCACAGCATCAAGCTCACCACCTCCATCCTCACCTCCTCCACTGTGTTGGGTCTTTCTGGTACCTCTCCCAGCCTGGGGTGAGATTTTGGAGAGTCATGGGTGCAAGCACTGAGGACCGGTGGCCAGGGTCATTGTCTTTCCTCCTTGGGAGAGCAGTGTGGTTGGCACCTGAGATGTTGGCAAAATCACCTTGGCTGGTGATGGTGACACCATTGTCTCTCTTCAGGGCAAAGGACGTGTGCGACGTGGTGCCTACCCTAGCCCGACATCTCCTGTTGCTGTACGCTTGCCCTCGGTGACAGATATCCCTGAGGAGACCATAAACAGTGAGGAAGCCATGGAGATGGAGGTGACAGAGCAGCAGCAAGTGGCCATGCAGCAGGAGGAGAAGGTGCTGACTGAGCAGATTGAGAGCCTGCAGAAGGAAAAGTGAGTCTGACTCAGGGTTTAAGCCATGTCCCATAGCTGCAGGTTACCTATGAATGTTGCTTGACATCATTTGGTTGATGTGCTGCTCACAGGATGACCTGGAGGACTTCATCCCTCCATGAATCTCTTGGTGTACGTGCATACCTTTCTTCTCCTTACTACCTTTTTGGTCCCCTTGGGTCAATGGGTTGGTTTTGGCAGGGAGGAGCTGACGTTCGAGATGCTGACGCTGGAGCCCCGCGCCTCTGACGATGAGACCCTTGAGTCTGAAGCCTCCATCGGCACTGCTGACAGCTCTGAGAATCTGAACTTTGACTCCGAAGGAGCCATCTCGGATCGCTCGGGTAAATCTAGGAGTTCTTGGGTTTATCATAGAATCATAGTCTGGTTTGGGTTGGAAAAGACCTTCAGAGCTCATCTAGTTCAACCCCCCTGCAATGAGCAAGGACATCTTCAACTAGAGCATGTTGCTCAGGTTTTTCTATAAGCTTGAGGGGGGTTTATTTGTTTCTTTCCTGCCCAGAGGAAATTTAAAGCCAGCAATTTAAATGGGTGTAAGGAGGGGGGTTAAGGGTTGAAACACATGGGGACGTGGGTGGTAGCACCCAGGGTTTGGTGGGGAGGTGAGCACTCCTCCAGCACTATGCATCAGCATCCTGGGTGATGATCCCAGTGGGATACTGGGAACATTCTCCTGGCTTCATAGCATGTGTCCCCAGGGAGTGGTGCCGAGATCCTGTCTGGTTTCAGGGTGCTAATCCTCTGGTGGTCTTTCCCACCTCCCCCAGAGAGAAGCATAGCACTTACCTCCCTGCGCCCCACCAAGGCGGAGGGGCCGAGCCGGCTGCGAAGGCACTCCAGGACCCGGCTGGCCCCAGCGGCCCCAGCCGACATGTCCTTCTCCTCCTCCTCCTCATCCCAATCGTCCACCTCCTGCTTGCCCCACCTTCCCCGGAAGCGCTTCCAGATGTACTCCAAATCGCCTTTCTACCGAGCAGGGAGTCCGGGCGAGGCTCCCGAAAGCCGGGCAAGCCCTGAGGGCTTCATGGGACCTCTCCGTTATCCCGAGGAGCGCCCTCAGTTCACCACCCGTGGGACGTTCAACCCAGAGAAAGGCAAACAGAAACTGAAGAGCGTGAAAACTTCCCCCCCAAAAACCAAAGAGCCCCCAGATGGGGGGACAGGGGGGACACGCAAGAGAAACCCCGAGGCTGACTGTGCTGCTGCCCAATCCCTTGTCCTCCTGGGGAGCAACGAGTTCATGGTCTGAGAGGTTCCACATTGTGCGCTGGAGCATCCTCCTGGTCCATGCTCCCGATGGCTTCCTTAACACCAGGAGGATGAATTCCTGATTTCAAAGGCCGGGGAGGTGGGGAATGGTTGTAACGGTGGCCTTAATGGTTATGTGGGGTTGAGGGTTGCTGGGGTGGTTGGAGCGGGGATGGAGGGGCACTGGCTGGCCCCTGCACTCTTCCCCTTGGAGCACCCCACACCTCAGAGCATTGTGCCGCCAAATCCTCGTGCCCAATCACCGTCGCCTGTGGGTAGGAACAAACCAAGACTGAAACTCCCGCAGGAGTCCCAG